TAGGGACGTCGCTATTGTGGCGTTGATTGGATGGCACTGCCCGATTGGATGAAACCGTGAACAGCTGAGACCTGCCAGGTGCAGAGTTGCATAAATCGCAGTATAGAATATTTTGTTTCCCAGTGGACGCTGCTTTGACTGCAAAAAAAACATGGTTTCAATTTGCTTCAAAGACGGAGGTACTTCAGCCACTCTATGTAGTATATTCTAGCTCGTTGCTGTGCACGCACGAACGCAGCAACAATGAGCAAACGCTATTCAGCCAAAATTAATTTACGCACTAATGTATTAATTTTTAAAAACAATGTAATTGAAAAACGAATAATACTTTCCTTAGAGTTCTGCAAACAACCAAACCTTCCTGATCAGTTTTTAAAAGAGCCAAACATATCTTTCTGTACTTCAAAAGTATTACATAAATTTGACAAAGTAGGAACCAAAATAAGTGAGTAAATCCTAGTTAACATTGAAGCAACATAGAAAAAAATTACGGACAAACAAGTTCATTGTTTTGTAAACTTGAAATATTACTCGTTTTCTTAGAATATTTACTTCGAATATTTTTGTAAAATTAGGATTCTACAAATATGCATAATAAATTTCTCAAAAGTGAAACTTCTCACTCCAATAAATCTATCATTCGGCACGTTTATCATCAACTCAACTCATTTCACTATTTATAAATTAACAGTAGGTCACCAAAACCTTGTAAAACATTTTTGGGATCATCAATTATTGAAAGAGAAAATAAAAAAAATGGACTGTCATAGAATTTTAAACCCCTAACAGAAACATCAAAAATTTTTAATAATAGAAATAAAAAATCGCTTTAAAATAAATCCTTCCGCCCAAAATTGTACCAGTGAGGTACTAGTAGTTTCGGCCGACATCGTGCTTCTCAGTCACATTACTTATTATTTAAAAGATTACTGCGGTAATGGGAAGAAATATGGCAGGAGCTTCGGGTTTCTTCCCGAAGGTTAGAGTGAAAGGTGCCAGAAAAGGGCGAGTCCCTACGAGATCAGTGTTGTCATTGTAGGTTGACAAAATTTCCCCAGTGCATGTGCGTGTCCAGCACTAAGTGTAAGCCTTTTCTGTAGACAAATCATATTGCATTGAAACACAAGGCAGAAGCCGCAGTCTTATTAATATATGAATTTTCAAATTACACATATTAAAAGAATACATAGTAATTATTTCGAACAACTCTCGCGTCGTTAATATTTACATTGTAAATGTAGGCTTACTTTATAATTTATGGACTAGTTTGGTCACAAATGCATTTAAGGACTTTAAACACTCTTACCCAAATCGTACAGATTATTTTAATATTATTTTGAAAATACTTCTCAGAAGATAAATGCCAGTTAATGGTGGATCAAAATTTTAAATGAATGTTATTATTTTGCACTTAATAATAATAATAATAATAATAATAATAATAATAATAATAACGTTTTCTTGTTTTTCAGTACAAATAAAAGTGCAGGCCAATAATGTGCCATCACACTCGTGACATTAAGAATTAACTTGTACAAAAAGTAACGAAATTTGTGTAGCGTAAAAATAAACAATTATGCAACTTTCCTCGGTTTCGCTTCCGTTCTCATTCAAATGTATGAGTTGGTCTGTCTTTGAATATGACATAAAGGGACGCCAGCGTCTTTCATAATCACAAAATGAACTATTTAGCAAAGTCATGCAGTACCTGTTTCGTTTGAATGGGCCTCGACGAATGAGTGTGTGTGTATTTAAGTTCCATGGAGATGCTTGGAACCAAGCTTGATTTTATTGCAGAAAAGTTGCTGACGTTGCAAACTTGGTTGGGTAATAATTAATCTAAATATTATTTGCTATCCATTTTTACTGTATGTGAGTTCAATGTTTATTTGAATCAGATATAGCTCGCACTTTCTAAAGCGTTATCTGGTTCATATGATTAAAATGTGTCGATCTATGTGGCTCCATAGCAATGGGTTCCATAAAATTTATAGGTTCCATAGGCCGTGCACCGTAGCATAAAGTAAATGTATGGAATCTAGAACTATAGAAATTAGAGATGCAACCAATAGATAGCGACACAGTCGATATTTGAATACTTATTATACGTTCTTTGCGTGTGTTGTGTTCTATTGAGATAGATGTTCATTGTTGTGTTTCTCAATATGTTCTTAGTAGCAATTTCGTTTTATTTCATTATATTCATTGATTTTTTTCATTTTAGTTTATTTTTTGTTTAATTATTATAGTATATTAAATTACATTATAGTATATTAAATACAGTTAATTGTTATCTACTGATTATCAAAAAGAACATTAATGATTATTTTAACGAAACAGTGATATATAATGAATTACTTTGCTTTTGTATTGTATATTTTTTTTAAAAGACTTAATATGTTTGTAACAAATAATGTACTTTAGCTTCCGGGTCAATGACCCCCATCTCGATCATGTTTTTGTCCAGTTTCCCTGATCCATTGAGCAAATGCTGAGATGGCCCCTTGTTTTGCTTCTGGACGTAAATGTAGCTTCACTACGCGCACGTTTTGTTATGGTAAGAGTAGACGTAAGGGCGAGTTGCTATTTTGTTAGCAATGCAAAAAAATCATACTTGCAATTCCGGTACCGATGAAATTAGTTATCTATTTTTTATACTGAGTTAACTATTCTATTTTTTTTTAACAGAATAAATCTAAATCTTTATATTAGCCATTGGCTATTGGAATTGAAATTAATTAATTTACCTTCCATTCTTAATTTTAAATATTAATTTTTGCTGATACAATTAATAATGAACTACTATTCAAATCTCTTTGAAATACAAAGTGATAATTAATTTGATATCTATGCCATTAAGTAGTACACATTAATACAAGAAGAGTCCAGAAGTTAAGGTATTTAAGATGCCAAACAAAGGCAGGCAAAAATGCTCTAAAATATGACATGAGTTTTAAAAAAAACTATTAGAGGCTAATCATTTAAATTATTCAAATTTTATTTCTAATAGTGACATAATACTAGCACTTAAAGAAACGTTTTCTTCATTGGTTCATCATTAAATTTAGTAATCTTCATTGGTTATCGATTTATTGGGAAGAAATCGTTTCACAACTGAAAATTATTCTTTATGACAAACCATATTTCAGCATTATGATTGCAAACTAAATTCACTGATGATTCTACGAAGGGTGAAGTGTGGGTTGAACTATTATTTAACGAATCTTTGAAATATAGCATAATTGAAAGAACTAGTTTTTATTCAGTAAACTCACTTAATTTATTCACCAGTTCAGACACATATGTGCAATAATAAACAGAACACTACAGAAAAAAGCAAGGAAAGACACAAAAATGAAGTTCTATAAGACAATGGCTGCTCCAGTGTTCCTGTATGGAAGTGAATCATGGATAATGAAAAAAGAGACCAAAGGCAGCTCCAAGCAGCGGAGATGCGATTTCTTAGGAAAGTTAAAGGCTGCATTAAACAAGACCAGATAAGAAGCGAGGATATCCGTAAAGAACTAGATATATACAACATAAATGAAAGGATCTTAGAAAACAGGCAAGTATGGCGGCGCCATATTGAAAGAATGGAGGAAGATCGTATTCCACAATTAGTGATGAACTACCAACCGAAGGGAAGAAGAGATAACGGCCGACCCAGAAAGAGATGGTCCTGAAGTGCAAAGTGAAGACGGAACAGGCATTCCTGCCTAACCCTTGAAATGGAGAAGAGAAAAAGAAGAAGAAGAAGAAGAAGTTCACACAATCTGGCTAAATTGTGTCATGTACAAAAGTGTCTGTTCTCAAAAGGTGTTTGATGCCACACGTAATCATAGGATGAAAAAAAAACGATGACAAAATATTATAGCTATTAGTTATATAAAATATTAACATATATTCATAGCCAAATTTAATCCTTATTTTTCATCACATGCTCGCAAAAATAATGTGTAAATATAGAATTCACTGATATTCAACACATACAAATACATTTAAAACGCACGCAACACAACAAAAAAGTTTCGTGAAAGCCACGAAAGCACAACGCAACACAACACACGGACACTAGGTATTACTCGGGCAACTTTTCTCGAACGATGGATTGACGATTTCGGGTGGAGTGGGGGTATTAGTTACAAAGTCGGCCACTAGAGTATTTTAAGTAATGCCAACGTGTGTGAAATGAAAGTCAAAACTGCATTTTGTGCTTAAATTTTTCGGGAGTTTTAAGGTGACTCCCTTGAAGGACCTGGACCTGACTCAGTCCTTTCTTTCGATATTGACAATAAATCTGAACAGGGGTTCTGCACTATGAAAGCAACTGGCTTTGACTAGCTTCTGTTTCGCGCCAACGAAGTTTTAATGCTTGGAAGGTTGTCATCAGTGCCCGCTGCGAGCTTTTGCCTTCAACTGTTTATTGCACAAGGGAGGGGGATCAAGGTCATCGTTCAAGAAAAGTTGCGCGAGTAATATCACCAATAACTTCGAACACGCGCAGAGACGCCATGTTGCTTATTTGTAGAATCCATAAGCATTTGTAGACCCGTTTTAAGACTTCAATGTAGACCCGTTTCAATGTTATAGAAAGCCTTATAGGTGCCATATCTTTTTGGTTGATGCAGAAACACGTTGGACTATTTTATAGAACCAATAAGCTTATGGATTCCATTCGAACGTTTATGCAATCAGGCAGTCTAGAAGAAATTGTATCTTAATAAGGGCCTACTTACGGTGACTTTTTCTAACAGTCACACACTTGCCCATACCACTTTTACAAAGGTTTTAAGTTTCAATTTTCTTGGCTATTCGTAAAAATAAGTTGAATGACAAGTTGCAGGAACATAATAAAAGGTTATATTGTAAGAGGACCAATCATTACAGCTTCATTTTCTTTTGATTAAGAACACTAACTGTAAGTGAAACCCCACATTCTACTCTGACACAAAAGTAATTTTATGAGCATAAAAGATTTTTTAACTTTTTTTCCCTTAGAGCTGCATACGGAAAAAAATATGGTTACGGCGGCTATGGTGGCTACGACGGTTATGGCGGAGGCTACGGAGGCTACGGAGGCTACGGCGGCCACGGCGGCGGCTACGGCTACGGCGGGAGCTATGGCGGCGGTTACAGCGGCGGCTACGGCTACAAGCACTACGGGTATGGCGACTACGATCGTTACGGGGGCCCTGGTGGGTATGGTGGTGGCGGGGGCTACTATCCTAACGGTGGCTACGGCGGATACGGAGGCTACGGGCAAGGCGGGTTCGGGGGAGGGTCGCACTCGCACAGCCAGTCGTCCAGCGTGAGCTTCGGAGCCAACTTCGGAGGCGTCGGAGGCAGCTTCTCGGCCAGTCAAGCCAGCTCCGGAGCGGCCAGCTACGGGTGAGTGACGCGTCCTGTGCGCCGCTCCACAGCGCCAGCGCGCACCTGAGCCAAGCTGCACACTTCGCCGGCGCTAAGCCGTTCCCTTGCATTCCACCTAAACTGTACGCATTGTCTTGAGCTTAGCGACACAATACTATAACGCCTGCGCTCCGTCGCACACCTTCCATTCCAGCCAAGCCGGCCTCTGTCTTCAATCGTATTTGACTTGAGCTGAGCTGTCCTGGTATACTACATTCTTTGAGCTGAACGCTCTCTGATTTCTTCATACCCATCTGAGTTGTATACTTTGACTCGAGCTGCGTCTTCTGCGGTCTTCTCATGTTTATGTTCGAACTTTGCTGAATGTCGACTGCTTCGCTTCAGTTGCTGAATTGAGCTGTGCAGTATCATTTAGCCTAAGCTCACCCTATATTAATATTTCACGGAGGAAGGTATAGTTTTCATCTGTATTTTCTTTCTTTTTATCTTGTTACAAATTTTTACTTTAGACGAGAAGGTAAGGAATTTGTAACTTAAAGCACGTTTGCCTGCATTTAACAGACTTCTGTCATTTAACTAAACACATTAGTGTCTAAAACTAGAGCACGCAAAAGCATAAATGTTAATATTAGGATTACTCAAGTAATTTTGTTATTTAAAATTATCAACTCTTCAACATAAGACTAATGAAACCTGAATTTGAAGTATGCAATTGAAGTACGTTGATGTAATAACTCAGAATAATATTGATTGGAAATTCTTCAGAAATAATTATATCTTGATATCACCTATGTCTGTTCTTAATATTTTTGTTAGTACGAAATAAATAAATAGTTATATTATTTCTATTGGGGAATACTAATAGTATCATGTGTCCTCTGTTAAGGAGAGTTAGGTATTGTACATCTTTAAAGAATCTTACAAATATTTTATAAATTATATGTGAATAATTTGTGCGATGCTTCTTGTTTGTAGAATTTTTCATTTTCATGTATACTCACTGAAATAATGCCCTATCCTGAAATGGAAAATCCGTAGTTGATTTAACTTCTCGTGTTCTGCGCTAGACTTATGTGTTTTGATCCTTTTCAAATTAGTCCATATTGAGAAAACTAGTAAAAATATATCCTATTCTGGTCTTAAATTTTTTATTTCCTAATGTAATGATGAAATTATTTAAAGTTATAGATGTGCCGGCGAATACTTTCTGTACATTTTACCTGTTTGTAATTTACCTTCAAGAACTTGTTGATCTAATACTATTCTAGTAATCTCAAGGGGGAGGAGGACAGAGGCCAAACGATGAGTGTTTGCTTTCCCAGATTTTAATTTTTTAGAAAGCTGAAAACCATTGATGTGCTTTTGATCAATATATGATGCAATTCATCACAAGTGTTTGTTATAATTCTAGTTATAACAGCGTCTTCAGCTGAGTAAAAATCAGCAGTATTCACTCAAAAATTAAAGATACAGAATACATTTATGATTTTGTTGCTTTTTAATGGTTAGTATAATATGTAATACATTGCTACTTTGTGAATAAACATTTGTCTTAGTAAAGATGTAATAAGTTTTGTCGTTAAATAAAAATAATGATGCTAGAATGTCGATCTTTTTTCATTTACAAGCCAGAAATTAAATAAAGTTTTGGTGTTTAAATGAATACACATGTCATGTATACTATTAGTTACTTAAATATCGTGATTGATTAAAATAGTCAAAACATCAAAATAACCAAAAGGGTATCGGAGCGTTCTCCCTTCGCAATATACGGGACCATTTAAATTTTAGAGTTAATGCACAATTTAATGTTGAAGCACATTTTGGGAAATTGTGGAAATATCCAAATGCGGAAATAAGCTGTTAGTGTAGATTAAAAAAAACAAAACATTTATGTAGAAATAATTTATGTTCATTAGTATTAGTTTGATAGTTTTATTTTCAAGTTACATTTCATAATAATGTACATACGTGACCATTAAAACAATTAAATTCGGTAATTTTCTTCTCAAGAAACGTGAGAGCAAGGAGACAATCGGATACTACGCGACTTGGAAAATAAGGAGGATTGGAAAATAAGGAAAACATTGGAGGGTGCACGCACAAATACTTTCACCTTCTTCAGATTTGGTAACTGCAAACATGCGTCGCAACGCGTTCGTCGTTACCTAACGCATCCATTTGGTTCCCCGCGGCCGTCCAACTTGCGCTATGGATCAAGCATCTTCAATGAGGTCGGACACCTTTCGCTGACGCCACGCCCCTCTCCCTGCCGTCGGCTCTTGAGCACAGACAGCTTGCGCCGTCTGCCCCGGAAGGGCGGACAGTGATGTAATGGCCTAAACTACGACAACTTTCCTTGCCTGGTCAATACAAGCATTAATGATTGGCGCTATCGGTTCCAAAATTTTCTGTTTTCTTTTTGAAGGTTATTGCACAGGACGGAATTGCTTGCAATAAAATACGCAAACTACGTAGATTTGTATGCATTCATTTTTGAAAAATATGTAAAAACAAGTGGGGTTGCGCAAAAAATGAAAAAAATATAGTGTAAATATTTTACAGAAAAATTTAAAGTGCCTTAGGGACTTCACGTGAAGTTTCCCCAAAAAATTAAAATATCTTGATGATCTCCAGAATGGCACAACTAGATTTTACTCCTGGCGTATTTGTCAAGTTTAAGCTCAAAAGTTGACAGAGGTACCAGACAGACAGGCACACATCCCGAGTTTCGGGTACAAAATTGCGTGCATCTTTTTGCCTCTTACATCAATTTTAATCGTATTTGGAATAACACTAGTAGATCTTGTGCAGTGCCTGCGAAGATACAATCAAAAGAATCTTAAGTACGGTCTATACGATCAACAATTCTAAACCTATTGTTCAGGTTTTTCCGATACGCTTTCTCCCTATTCTAGTTTGGGGAGAAAATGCACATTCATAATGGTGTTGAAAGTTGCTCTATACAAGCTTTTTCAAATTTTCGAACACGAAATTTTCGTCACTGATCTGGCCTGGAAATGAATTCGTATAGGCTGAACGAACCTTTTTACTTTCTAGAAAATGACATTAATCTGCGCCTACTAATGTAGTACATTTGATGTGAAATACAAAATATGTATTCGTAGAAACACTAGGCAGTGTTGTTTATGGGGAGTCAATGCGCTCGCGATCGCCTGTAGGCGTAGTCTATGACGAATATGGGGCGGGGAAAGGGAACATGTCATCTTATCCAAATTGTTTTGTAATTGAACATTGTTTTACTTAAAACAATTACCAAATATTATTCGTGTTACATTTCAACGCCCGGCATTTCACGAATACGTTCTGAATTCTGCTTCCCTGACAACAAAGGAATAAATGCTTCAAGAAGAGCGCTAAGAAAATAATCTGAAGGAATGTTGGTTCTACTTAAGTCGAGTTATACGTGAAACGTGAGCAAGTACGGTTGCAATTAAACTGCGTAAACACCAGTACACCCTTGTGTTTGACAATTCACGGTGAAAAACCAAAGTAGTAGAAACGCAGTATTCCTAGCTTTATTTAACAGAAAGACGATTCGAGGAACACATATTGGTAATCTGAGATCCCTTTCGGCATGTAAATAAAATAATACGAAAAAATCTATATTAATAAGTAAAATATGTAAAATAAGTAAAATATACCAAAATTTGTTAAAATACGGAAAGTATAGTTTGAATGAATTCAGAATTTCTTGTAATCTCTAAATAATATTAAATGCAGACATTTGTACAGAGCACGCCGCGGAAAACATTTCCTGGGAGATGGGCGATATGCGTTATTCCAAATGAGATTTTATAAGATAGAGCTCCGAATTTTTTTAGACCACCGAGATTGCACTGCAACTGTTTTATTCTGTTCCTAGTATTAGAGAATAAAAACATACTTGTAATGTAACAAAACTGTGTACAACTTGAACGGTAAGCATACTTATCTCGTCGGCGGCAAATTCCCACATTAAGCATTCGACTTTTAATAGTTTTCAGGAATAAAACATTTTCCATTTTCCAACTAGCAGGTGTCTTATTTGAAACCAATTTCGGAGATTGTAAATAGTCTTTTGAGAAAATTCTAGTCTTGAAATATTTTCTAGATAGGATTTGATTGCATCTGGGCAGAAGGAAATATTGGTGTAAAAATTCATATTTCTATATTAATCCGTAACAAGTTCAACAACAAGAGGTATGTGAAGAGATTATTGACAGAACAAATATACTGCTCGAATAAAAATACGTGAAAGTTCTGAAGAATATATTTGATTGTCATAATTTCAACTTAACTCTATTGAGTAGCCTACTACTGGAAGGAGAGTGGGGATTTTATCGATCGTCCTGGAGGGTCAACTCCTCCTCCTCTTTCCTCTTCTTCTTCATATGTTGTTTCTTGTTCTTTAACTTTGACTGGTAGTTGGGTAAGGTAAGTCGACTGCTTGGGCGTGATTTGGGTCCACTCCTTTTTACAACAATGTATGCTGCGCGATCGTCGGGGCTGTCGGGATCTACGAATTCCTTAAGTGACCATTTTTTTCGGGATAATCGCCTGCAAGATCCTTAGAAGAATTCCTTATTTTTTAATGGAAATTCAATAAGGAAATGGCATCATTACAACACATCCCACGAATGAGAGTGTAGATTGCGACGTAGTCAGTAGCGACGAGTACTTGGTTGTACGACAGACGCCGCGTCCTAGGCACAGGTGCTAACATTTCGGCTGCCTCTCGCGGAATGGCGGTGGAAACGTTGGCACTTGTGCCTAGGACGCGGCGTCTCCCGGACAGCCAAGTAGTTAATGACAAAGTCCACAAAAGACACGTCGCGTGAATCCCGCAACGTAACCCAGTCGAAGGCGACGGCAGCTGGGCTTTGCGCCGCCAGGTCAGTCGCCTGCGCGGCGCCCGCGGTGCTAACGGATGCGCTAACCGGCAGTCGGCGTGCACCGTGCTTAGCTTCTGTTGACTCCCCATGTCAAATCGTGTGGCGTGGCCTGGCGTCGCGCCCGCCGCAGCCTTGGCCTAGAACGCACATCTTAGCGCATGCGCAATCGCCTCTGTGGGGCCGCTTTCATTCAGAAGTCCACGCAGCCGTTCTTAGCACTTGTACGGTTATCGTGTTTTCAACAAAACAAAATAACCGTATATTTCGCGAAGTTGAAAAGAGTTTACTAAATAACTTGTTAAATATAGGTAGTTCACTTGTTAAATTGGTAGTTCTCTTGATTTGATCTATACTGCGATTTATGCAACTCTGCCTCTCTCAGGCAGCTGTTGACGGTTTCATCTAATTGGAAACTTGAACGTCACCATAGCGATATCACTATGGTGACGTTCAAGCTCCCGACTGGATGCAACTAACAGCTGATACCTGCCAGAGGCAAAGTTGCGAAA